ACAAAATTGAAATAACTGAATATCCTTCCATCTATCCATCCATTCAACCATATTTCCCAATCTATCCTCCCTCACCTCATAACCACATATTGAAAAAGTGACATTATATAAAATTTGCCCACTGATAGCGGTCCATCTCTGCCAAGAACTGGGGAGAGGTGACTTTTCTTATCTCTTCTTTTCACTACACATTTGTAACCCCCAAATGTTACATTCAGGTTGTAATGGACTGTTTGTTTGGGGTCAACAGCAGTTCAACCATTGCTCTAAGCCACTATTTTTTTTTCACCTCTCTGACCCTCTCCTCTCCCAATCTGCCCTGTATTGTTTATGCAACATTACATTATGATAGTGAAAAGGAAAAATTTACTTAAAGTAGAAATCCAAGGTAAATCACATGGAAGGGCATCAAGCAGCCACTTGACATACTATTTTAACACTTATTTTTCAAAGTGTAGCTTCCCCAAATCCTGGTACCTTATTAGGTGGGCTTCACCTCTTCCTGGGGGTGGGCAGAGGCCTAAGAAATGATTGTCAGCTAGGAACAATTCTCTCCCTTTGGAATAATCTTTCTTAGTTGACTGGGCACACTCTTTAGCTTCATTCTTCAGAGCTCTTTTCCTAGGATGGCTGAAAATGGTGGGGCTGAGACCCAGGCCTGGATTTAAAGAGGGAGAGAAGGAAAAAAAAAGTTACACGACAACTTTATTACATATTTAAAAGGAATAGCAAGTTGTCCATAACAGACACGCAGTTTCATGTATGATCTTTTTTTTTTTTTGTAACCTGCTGTTATGGAAATACTTGGGTTTTCTTTCCTATGTTCGAAATAAATTAAATTAATAAAAAAATTAATGCTCAGACTCCCCATTTCTATGCTGAAATCCCACTAAAAAGACTAAGTAGTTTTAATTTAAATTATATCAATTTGTACAGTGGTGCTAAAAGGATGTGTCTCAGCACACATATGCACCAATTTTAGGCACTAGGTGGTGCAGCGGATAGAGTTCTAGGCCTGGAGTCCCAAAGACCTGAGTTCAAATTTGGATTCAGATACTTATTAGCTGTGTGACCCTGGGCAAGTCACTTAACTTCTGTTTACCTCAGTTTCCTCAACTGTAAAATGAGGAAAATAACAGCGCCTACCCCACAGGTTTGTTGTGAGAATCAAGTGGGATAATATTTGCAAAAATGCTTAGCACAGGGCCTGGCACATAGTAGGTGCCATATAATGCTAATTCCCTTCCCCTTCCCTTAGTGTATGACTGTTGCAAATTATAGGGAACTTACATTTACAATTGCATGTACATATGTGAGCCTCTTGGTTCTAATAATGTGACTCTATTCCTCACAACAAAGAATAATAATGTGCTTTTATTGCAAAAAAAAATTGAGAAGCAGCGGTGTAGGGATTAAAAAGGATAATTGATCAAAAACCAGAAATGCTGGATAAGATCGGGAAAGCACATTAACAGCACACTTCAAAAATCGTGGCCTAAGCCAAACCACCTCTACAACCCTCTTAGGGACTAGAAGTTACGTGTCCAGTCCTGTGTAACTTTTCATCATGGAACTCAGTGGCTCCTGATGCTGCTTTCAGCATAACAGTCACTCAAGGGAAAACAGACATGGTGGGTTAATACCTTGCCTCAGATGGCCACAGAAAGTGCCGCATCTTTTGTTCTTAATTAATTTTTTTTCAATTAACAAAAATCTATTTTTCACCCTCCTACCCTGTCCCATTAAAAAAAAATGGAAAAACAAGGTGGCATTTTTTATTTTTTGGTTTTTTTTTTGGTTGGTGAGATGGCGTTTTGAATACACTTCCTTTAACCCTTCTAAGAATTAGCTGTGATTTAATGGACAAAGCACTGAACCTGGAGTAAGGGGCATTGGATTCTAATTTGCACTGATAGTTCCTAGCCGTGACTCATTCACCCTAAGTCTTAGTTGTACTGTCTATAAAATGGGTATGATGGTCATTGTGCTACCTACTTCATGGTGCCATTATGGCAAAAGTGCTTTGTCGACCTCAAAGTTTCACGTAAATGTCAATGGTTGCTACTGTTATTGCATTGTCATCCCTATCTCTCCATCCCAGGGTGTCTCTAGACAGGGGATGGGGAATGGAGCTGAGACTGAGGAATGTCTTGGAGGAGACTCTCTCCTTCAATGCTGAGTTCGGTGAGTACCCTGTACAGGGTGTTACAATACAGTACGATGATGATGATGATGATGATGACACTTTAAGGATCCAAAATTTCATTTTGTGGGTATTTTCTTCAATGTATGGTTTGCAACCCCATGTGCCTTGGAAGATGGTATTTAAGAATGTCCATGGATGTCATCACTTTGTGGTGTGCTGGTGGTGATCACCTCCCAACTTAGCCAGGGGAGTCCTCGCGTAATAGATACATGTCCTATTACAAGGTCTGTGCTTGAAACCTTTCCAACTTGGTAGGATCTGCCTGGGCTTGTGCTTTGCTCACATAGCCAGAGCCCAGGGTAGCCTCCATGGCATACTGTCATAATAACAGTGAGAATATTTGACCCAAGTTCTAATTCTAGCTGTCTGTGCAACTTGCTGGTATGGACTAAAATAAGTCATAGCTTCTCTGGACTCCCTTTTTTCATCTCTGCAATAAAGGGATTGAACTAGGACCTGTAAGGTCCTTTCTGGTTCTAATATTCTGTAACTCCACATCAAAAACCGAAAGCTATACTGACTCTGTACTTAGCTTATTGGGTACTGGCTGGGGCACTTTGTTGTACTGGTCTATGTCTTTATTCACTCATTTGTTCTGGACCACGCCCTATTGCCATTCATCCTTTCACTCATTTGGCAAATGCTTATTAAGTGCATACTATATCAGAGGCTGTCTAGTGGAAAGAGAGCTGGCCTTGAAGTCAGGAAGCCCCAGGTGCAAATTCTATCTCTGACACATACTAGCTGTGCTACTCTGGGTCAATCATTTGACCTCTTAGTGCTCTAGGCAACTCTCCAGATGAAGCTACAGAACAGTTAAAGACCTGAATCTGTAGAGGGAGTTCTCTACACCATTAGAAATCCCAAGTCTAGACCATGCTATGTGCCAGGTACTGTCCAAGGTTCTGGCCCTCAAGGGCTTATATTCTACTGGAAGGGGGAAAAGAAAGGACATGTATACAAAGTTAGGTAAGTATAAATGTACAAGACCTGGCTCAGAGGGCTGGGGCACCTTCTTTCATGAAAGAACACCAACTCCAGGTTCAGTCAGATTGGATTTAGAGACTGATCTCTAAAGAGAGAGGTCAAGTTTTTTTTTTCATTGCTTTTGGCTCATTGTAGCCCCAACCTTGAGTCCCAAAGGAAATATCTTTTTAAAAGCTGATGTTGGGTTCATGTCTAGGGTATTCCTAAAAACAGGGTCCCTCCTAGAAAGGTATTCAAAGCACAAAGTAGATCAGGTATGGAATAGCAATCCATTTACTCCACCAAAAAGAAATGTTTAAAGATTTGTAAGTGTGCATTAACAAAAACTTAAAATAAGAAATAGTAACCCATCATCCTCCTGGGAGTTTGATACCTAAAACATGAAACATGGTGTGAGATTTCTGACATCTGTTTTGTCTTCATGTAGACTCTGCACTGTCTGAGCAACTCCCTTCTGGTCCAGATCTTCTGGCAAGCCAGGACAGGGCTGGGCCTCATGGTGAAGTCTAAGAGTTCGGGGTTTGGAGTCAGAGGACCTGGGCTTAAATCTTGGCTCTACCACTAGCTACTTGTGTGACCTCGGGCAACTAATTTAACCTTTCTTTGTTGGAGTTTCCTCATCTATGAAGTTACTGGACTAGGTGACTTTTAAAATCCTTTTCAGCTCTGGATCTATGATCCTATAATCCTTCCAGTTGTCATCTTCTCTGAGAAGCATTGTAGTAGCCGCAGGAAATATCATCTGCTAGGTGACCAGCACTTGGGGCCCAGAAACTCCTGCTCTCTGAATTTCATGAGGCTGATGCCAAGGCTGGACATTTCCATCTGAGGGTCCCTATTCAGTTTCCTGTCTGCAGGGAAAGAAACACAAAGATGAAGAGGTAGCTAGGGCTTTGAAATCCTTTCTCAGGCTAGACAAGTTCATGCTTTTGCTGCTATATTCAAGCAGCTGCCATAGCTACAGGATGGGGAAGGGAAGAGCCCCTTACCCAAACAGGAAGAGAGAGAGAGAGAAGAGAGATAGCTGTCCAAGTCCCAAGCCACATATTCAGAAGGGGAGAAGAAGAAATCTGAGAATGGATGTTGTCTCTCCCTTTAAACTCTACTGAGTAGGCAGCTCTCCTGTTCAATTCTCTTCTACAGAGAACCTTTTGTGGAGGGGATGGGGAGGCTCATAGGGTTCAACCAGGAGTCTTTGATTACACACGTTCCAAAGGGGGCACAGCCACCAGTTGGGGCCAACATGAATGCTCCAAGGGAAATGTTACAGTCCCATAGTTAGGGAGGAGGTATCCACCAATTGGCACCATTACATAAAATATATACAAAATAATTGATAGGGACGGCAATTTCCCACCAACTGAGAGTGAGTGAGGATCAGGATAGGAAGGATCTTATAGGAAGAGGTCCTTGAACTGCCCTGAAGGAAGCTGGGCATTCTAAAAGGAAGTGATGAGGAGGGAATGCATTCCAGGTGGGGACACTCTGTGCAAAGGCACACATGAGAGACGGCAAGTCTTATACAGGGAGAAGCAAGTCAGCCAGTTTGTCTAGAACACAGAGAGCTTGACCAAGAGTAATGTGTAATAAACCCGGAAAGATAGGTTGGAACCACATTACAAAGAACTTTAAATCCAAAGAGTGGAAGTTGTCTATCAGCCTCAAGGCGATTGAGAAGCAGGGAGAAGATTAGAGTTTTTTTGTTTCCCTTTCTACTCTTGAGACCTCGCTCCTCTGCTGACAAAGAAAGAGAAGGCATTCAGAGGAGCCAACAACTGGGTGCCAGGGAGCAAATGTAGGCAAGGGGTGGTGCCAGGGAGGGTGCGGAGCTGTAGGCACCAGGAAAGACAGCCCTGTCTCATGGTTCTGCAGGGAGAGAGCACAGGACTCTTGAGGGGCAGGCATGTGGTTAATGGGTAACAAAATGTCTGGGCGCCCCTGGAGCCTTTCCCCACCCTGTGGGGCAGAGGGAAGTGCTTTGCAGAAGGCTTTCCTCTCCTGGTTCTCCCTCTCCATCTGTTTTGCTTTTTTGGCTCAATTGCCCCAGAGTTGGGCCTGCTCATGACCTTGGCTGATTTCGCAGTCATTACCAGCTGCTGCCAGATTTACTGAGGGAAGCTTCGGTTCTCTTCCAGCCAACCCAGGCCTGCTGGTCAGAGCCAAAGGATCAAGTAACTCCTTCCTCCCAAGTTGGAGCAGGTCAGTCCTCAGGACAGGGGCCGGGGGGGGGGGGGGGGGGGGGGTCAGGGGTTAGGAAGGGGCCCTTTGTTTCAAGTGGCTCATGTGGAGAGTTGACCCTTTAGGTCTGCTCTTAAAATGTACGTGTCAGACTTGTGTTAATAATAGCTGGGCATATATAGTGTTTTAAGGTTTGCAGAGCTTTTATATATGCCTTCCTACCTGATCCTGACAACAACCCTGTGAGGTTAGGTGTTACTATTATATCTCCCCGCTCCTAATTTTACCAAGAAGGAAACTGAATTTGAGAAATTAAGTGACTTGTTCAGGGTCACACAGTAAGTATCTGAAGTGGGATTTGAATTTGGGTCTTCCTGACTCATCTAGCAGCCTTTAGATAGTCATTTGGCTGGGATTAGTTAACCAAGAGTTTTTCAAAACAGTTGGTTTCTTTTGTAATCATATGTATTTTATTTTATGTATTTGAAAATCTTCTGAGAAGGGGTCACGCTGCAGGCTTCACCTAACTGCCGAAGGGGCATATGATGCAAACGATGTTAAGAATTCCAGAGTTAAACAGACCCATACAAGAATTCTAGGTGTTGGTTAAGGAGGGAGGGAAGGAACTTCAGTAATAGGAGAGGTGAGAGGTCTCATTTCTCATTTTGTCTCCTAGAAGAAGATTGAATTTGTTCTGCCAATCTTAAAGTTCCAGAAGATTCCCTGGTTCCAAGCTGAGCCTTCATTCTCTCATCTATAAAATGAGGATAGTGATATTCTTAGTGAAAAGCAGCTTAGCAGTAATGGATAGGGAGCCTTGCAGTCAGGAAGACTTGGGCTTAAGTGCTACTTTTGATGGGGCTGGCTGTGTGACCTTGGATGAGTCATTTAACCTCTTAATGCTCTAGGCAACTCTTTGAGACTAAATTGCTGAGCAGGTACTGACCTGCAGGAGAGAGAATTTCCTAGCCTAGACTTCCCTGGACCAATGACAGGTCACCTCCATAGCATTTCAGTACCTATCAAATGAGGCAGCGAGGATAAAGCCTCATTTTCCAGCTCGGCCTGGTGCATTGCCCATAGTCAGTCTATTGAATGGCTGAAAGCAGAGTTACCTTGCTTCCCAGTAAAAATTCATCTCCTTTTGTGCTTTTAGCAGCAGTTCATCCAAGGATGATCCAGGAGTCACTCTTAAACTGGACACTAATTTCCAGAGGGTATACGTGGCCAGAAGTTGTAACGGGATCCAATCTGGACAAAGAAAGTGTGTGTGTGTGTGTGTGTGTGTGTGTGTGTGTAGATACAGAAAGAAAGACACAGAGAGACAGAGAGAGACACACACACAGACAGAAAGATAGAAAAATAGACGGAGATAGAGAGACAGAGGAGAGAGACACAGAGACACACAGAGAAAGAAACACAGTGAGAGAGAGAGACAGAGATGCACACACACACACACACACACACACACACACACACAGAGGTAGAGACAGAGACAGAGACCCAGACCAACCCCCTCACACAGACTAATCTCTCTGCCAGTGACCAAGCTCCCTGCTTAGATACAGAATCACAGGTTTCTGGACTGAAAGGGAGCTGGAGAAGTCACCTTACTCATCCCCTAGAGATACCAGGAATACTAACCAACTAAACTGCCCTGGCTGTCTGTCTTACATGCTCCTTAGACAAAGAGTTTACGGTGCCTGAGGCATGTTGCTGTTCAGTTGTTTTTCAGTCATGTCCGATTCTTCATGACCCCATTTGGGGTTTTCTTGTCAAAGATACTGGAGCGGTTTGCCGTTTCCTTCTCTAGTTCATTTTTCAGATGAGGAAACTGAGGCAAACAGGGTGTTGCTCAGGGTCACACAGCTCGTAAGTGTCTGAGCCCAGATTTGAACTCAAGAAGATGAATTTTCCTGACTCCAGGCCCAGGGTTGTGTCCATTGTGCCACCCAGCTGCCTGCCTGATGCATAGTAGGAGCTTCATAAATGCTCTTTGACCCACTGATGCATTGATAAAGGGAGCTCTTACCATTTCGAGAATGAAGTTCTAGAATAAAACAATCCTCACTGGCAGTTCTTCCTTAGGTCTAGCTAGGAGCCCTCATAGTACACACTTTCTCTTTTTGATCTTTAGTAGAGATTGAGAGCAGCTGGACACTATCATCTGCACAGAATTCTTTCCGACATCTGAAGACTGTTATTAGGTGTCCTCTCCTCAAACCAGCCTCCCCAGCTTTCCTGCACGCCCACTGCAGATTCTCTTTTTCAGCCTAAATCATCCCAGTTCACCAGGTTGTTCCTCACAGACTCTATTTTACCACTCTTTGCATCACGAGAGCCCTGGAGAGTCAACTGCACAGGCCCTGGAGCTAATGAACCTTCAGTTTGTCAGCCAGTGAGTGTGGCCGGACAAACTACAAATAAAAAATCCATGGCACGAAGACAGCGTGAACCTCTGAACCCTGAGAAGACTTTGAGAGGCCCTCAGTGCCTCTTGGGCTTCCTGCCATCATCCTGACGCCACCCAGGCAGGGCAATGGGCCAACCACCCTCTTTCTGGTCTCCTTGCCCTCCCTGACTCATCTCATTGCTTCTGGACATCGCCTCCAGCTTGTGTCTTTAAAACTAGTTCCCTAAATAAGAGGCCTCATCTGTTTATTGATCCAGAACGCTTCTGCCCTAGAACTCATGGAATGCTTTACAGACATTGTGGCTGGTTATTACTTGCATGACCTGCCTACGCTAGTCATTTATCTTAAGGAAATGGGTAAACATATATCATCAAAACAAAGGCTAACATTTATATAAGCTTGAAGGTTTCCCAAGTGCTTTGCATTTATTATTTCATTTGATTTTCACAACAACCCTGTGAAGTATCCCCATTTTACAAATGAAGAAACAGAGGAAAGACAAAGTGATTTGCCTAGGGTCACACAACTAGTAAAAGTGAAGCAGAATTTGAACTCTGGTCCTTCTGACTCCAAAACCAGGGGTTTATTCCCTACACCACGTAGCTGCCTAATGTGAATTTATGTGGCTGGAATTTCTGGATCTTCCACTAGAGTCCTGTTCTGATACTTCCTTGTAGCACCCGTATCATGTTGAGTTCTAACTGGAAAGGCTTCAAGAAACTTAAGTCACTGTATAAATAAGTTATTATTACTACTGTTCAATTCAGCAGACATTTATGAATTGCCTATTGTGTGTAGGGCACAGTGTTAGGCACTGGGGGAGGGGAGTGTATGGGGTGTTAAGAAAGGACTAGCACCTCTGGTGGGAGGGCTTACCAAGCCCTTTTCAGGGCTGCTCATCTACCTTTGGTGTCCAATAATCACCCAACTCTCACCTGTAGCTCCAGGAATCTGTAGCATGCACAGAGGTCGCACCCCAGCAGATGGGCTACCAGGCTGAAGGTAACCAACAGGCCTCAAACTCATCGGTGAAGTAGGGGGTGCCTACCCCAAGCATGTGAAGACTTCCCCTGGTGGAATGGGTGGATAACAATCTGTTCCAAGGGCCATGAAGGCGGCTGAAGTAGGCACTGTAGAGTGCTTAGAGCTTGGTTAGACATGGTAGATGCCAAGGTCATCCACTGCACCCCTGGCCATCGCTAGCCCTATTGACTTTTGTTTTGCTACTGGACTTGGATGACTCTGGAAGAACAAGGGAGGCTGACTTTGTGCAGCTCTACCTCACTTAGATCCAATTCACTTGCAAGTCAAGTTATCACCCTGTGATGGCCTTGGTTCTCTTTGAAAACAAGGGCAAACAACAGGCGAGGGGATTACAAAGATGAAAGATGAGAGCATGGTATGGTGAATGGGCCACTCAACTTAGAGTCAGCAAGATCTGGGTTCAAATCCAGCTTTGAACACTTCTAGGGGTATGATCCTGAGCAAGTCACTTGACCTCTCCCTCTAATCAGGGGTTTGGACTTGATGGCTTCTAAAATCCCTTACAGTTCTAAATCCGTGACTTCTCATGATGGAGTCTTTCCCCTCAAGGAACATACAACTCAATTGAGAGGATTAAATGAGTGTACAAACAAAACAGTAAGTGGCTGGCGGGCTGGGCTTGGAAAAGGAAGAGCTGAGTTAGACTCTTGCCTCCCATAGTTTTTAGCTGGGTGACTTAACTCATTCATTTAGCCAAATTGATAGAGCCGAGCTCCACTATGAGCAGAAAAGGCATTGTGCTAGGTCCTGGGTATGACAGAGGGAAAAAAAAAAAGGATGGATAATTCAGAATCTCCTTCCTTGAGCTAGTCAGAAGGATAAAACAAGTACACACGCAACTAGGTCAGAGGATGTTTAGTGCTATAATAGCTATGCAAACCAGTTGCCATGAGGACTTAGAGGAGAGAGAACACGTTATTTTGGAGGAATCAGGGGAAAACTTCAAAAAGAAGGTGACAACCAACTGCAGTGTTCAAAAAGGCAGGAGTGAAGAGCCTTCCAAGTACAGGAAGCAGCATGAGCAAAGGTCCATAGGCAAGACAGCTGAGGGTGCGTCTGGAGGAGTACAACTGGTCTGGAGTATCCGATATGCATGGGTGATATAAGTGGGGATTCCTGCCAGAAAGGCAGGTTAGGGCCAGATGAGAGAGGGCTGTGACTGTCCTATCAAGGAGTTAATATTTTCTTTGTTAGGCAATGGGAAATTACTAAAGATTTTTGAACAGGGAAATGATCCGGTCAGACAATCCATTAGGAAGATTAATCTGGCAACTGACAGGTAAGGCAGATTGCTCTGATAATTCCTTTTTAGAAAAAGGAAAAGAAGCAATATGTTTTAAAATGTTAAAATGTTTATAGCAGCTTTCTTTTGTGGTGGCCAAGAATTGGAAATTACAGGGATGCCCATCAATTGGGGAATGGCTGAACAAGTTGTGATATATGATTGTGATGGAATACTATTGTGCTATAAGAAACGATGAGCTCATGATCTTAGAAAAACATAGAAAGATTTGTAAGAAATAATGAAGAATGAAATGAACAGAACCAAGAGAACACTGTATACATTAACAGCAATATTATTTTAAGAATGAACTTTGAATGAATAATTTATTTTGTCTACTATAAGTACCCAAATTAACCACAAAGGACATATGAAGAAAGACACTATTTGCATTCAGAGAAAGAACTGATAAATAGAAGTATGTATAGAATAAGTTTACATATGTATGTATTCGTGTCTAATGGTAGCCATCTCTAGGTCTGGAGGAGAGGGGGGGAAGAAAAGAAATTTACATGATAACTTTCTTATATATTTAAAAGGAATAGTAAGTTGCACATAATAGATTTGCAGTTTCATGAGCAATTAGATTTTTTATTTTACTATGTTATGGAAATGCTTTTTTTATTCCATAAATTAAAAATATAATTTAAAAAAGAAGGCTCTGATTCTTATAATCTAGCCACTGCTCAGATTTTTACAATACCTCACAGACTCTGAGATTCCTTAAGACTCTGGCTAATATGGTGGATCTTTAACAAACCTTGTCTTTGGCTGAAAAAAAAATAAAAAAAAAGAAAATGCATGGACTGTATCTTCCTCTTCTTCTTTCCTTCTTTGCTTTGGGGTTTTATTTTGCTCTCTGCCTCCACTACTGCCCACCTTTGGGGATTTCTACTAATGGACATCTCTGTTTCCTTTTATGTCTTCCATACTAGGACTCTATCTCTCTCCCTCTCCTGGATGGAGGAAGCAGTTTCTCAGGAACTCTCCTGGTGTTGGAGAGCCAATCTGTGGAGGGGCTAAGTCTCTTCTCTTGTCAGCAGGAAGGTCACCAAAGTTCCAGGCCTGCTGCAAAAAGGGTCCAGCAGCAAAAGTGTTGAGTTGAAGCGATTTGCCTGGCGGTTGAAGTGAGATGCCCCAGAGCTCCCGGACTCTGTCACCACCCAGGCCTGTCAGTTTCCACTTTTCCCTCTGTCCATCTCTTCTAATGCCTTGGCTTTGGACCCAGATGGAAGTCTACAGGCAGTGAATTATCCAGGAACATAAGAAATGGGGCACTTGCCAAATGCCTCTGAGGCTGATTATGCACCTAGCTCCAACCCTAATCTCTTGGGAAGTCGGGTGCCTTAGATGAGCCCTGGAAGATCCTAGAGGTGATGAGAAAGACCTCCCTGAAGGACAACCAGCTCCCAGACCCTCACTTACACTATAGCTTCTATACAGATAAGGAGTTCAGTTCCTGGGGCTCAGCTGGGTGACCTCAGTAAACAATTGGGGATTTATTTATGTGTGGCAGCCTCTAAGGTGACTAAATTTTTCTTTTTCTGAACTAGGTTGTATAGAAGGTAATAGCAGTGACCAGACAGTCCAGAGAATTCTGCCCAGTTGCAAGATACAATAAAAATGTAAATAAACATTTTACCTTGTGAAGGCTGGTCAAGTTCTGTCCTTGACTTCTGTCCCCATACTTCTCTTTATCTCTCTCTCTCTTTTTTTTTTGGTGAGGCAATTGTGTTTAAGTGACTTGCTCAGGGTCACACAGCTAGTAAGTGTCAAGTGTCTGGTCTGAGACCACATTTGAACTCAGGTCTTCCTGACTTCAGGGCTGGTGCTCTATCCACTGTGCCACCTAGCTGCTCCCTGTCCCCATATTTCTCATCATCTCCTAATGTCTTTCTGCATTTCCATTAGAGAGATAGCATGGCTTACTGGAAAGAGAGCCAGATCTTGGGCCAAGAAGACCCAGTGTCAAATCCTGCATCTAATACTTATTGCTGTGTGACCCTGGGCAAATTGCTTAACCTTGCTGCATTTGTAAAATGTGGATAATGATACCTATGGTACCTGCATCATAGGTTTGTTTTGAGGCTCAAATGAGACATGGTCTGAGTTTCAGTTTTTGCATCTGTAAAATATGGATAATCCTTCTAGTACCTCCCTCACAGGCAGCTGGGTGGTGCAGTGGATAGAGTGCTGGACCTGGAATGAGGAAGACTTGAGTTCAAATTTGACCTCAGACACTTAGTAGCTGTGTGACCCTGGGCAAATCACTTCACCCTGTTCGCCTCAGTTTCCTCATCTGTCAAATAAGCCAGAGAAGGAAATGGCAAACCATTCTGTTACCTTTGCCAAGAAAACCTCAAGTGGGGTCATGAAAAGTCAGAAAGGACTGAAAACAACAACAAAACCTACTTAAATGAGATAACATGCATGGGCTTGGGTTCCTAGGGATCATCAAAAGGACCGTGCATGAGAACTCTCCTAACAACTTCTGGGGATATTTGTAGCTCATGGTTGAAAAGGCTTGGAGCATTGAGATGGCAGAGCAATCCCCTTACTGGCCACTTGGTATACAGAGACTCTTTGGACCTTCAAGAGAATGAACTCTGCCCTCTGCCTATTTCTCCCTCTCTCCATCTGAAGAGTGAGTCAGAACCCCTCCAGCATCTATCTGGAGGGCTGGGGAGAGAGTGAGTGTTCTTCTTTTAACCCAGCAGCATAGCTGCTTCCAACCAAAGCACACGTCCTGCATAGGCAAGCTTGAGCCTAGGATTTGGAACGTTCTGTTTTGTATTCCTTTTCTGAGCATAGGTGACTGAGCCCTGGGCTGGAGTCAGGAAGATTCATTTTTCCTGAGTTCAAATCTGGCCTCAGACACTTCCTAGCTGTGTGACCCTGGGCAAGTCACTTCACCCTGTTTGCCTCAGTTTCCTCGTTTGTAAAATAAGCTGGAGAAGGAAATGGCAAACCACTCCAGTATCTTTGCTGAGAAAACCCCAAATGGGGTCACAAAGAGTCAGGCACAATTGAAAAACAACTGATCAGCAACAGGCAACTATTCTAGCACTTCTTGGATAAGATTACCACCAGCAGGAGGATGGTCCTAATGTGACTTTCCAGAAGACACGGACCCGGAAGGAACTGGGTGGACAGTACAGAGCAAAGGTGAAATATAAAATGCTTATTCAGCAGTCCCTCAAACTCATGTTCTAATGTTTAAGCCTCAAACTCCAGGGAGAATATGACAGTAGTTATGTCACTACTACTGCTTGCTAAAGCTTTTTCTGTCACTATGAGCTTCTGGGTCTTGTATGTGCTAAGTAAGGAAATAAATAGCTGTCCTAAATGTGTTCTGCATTATACATTGAACACTTTCTTACTCTCCCTTTTGAGGAGACCTTAGACATGAGCCTAATATAAGCTTTCAGTCATTTTCTCTGGGGAAACAGCGAGACAAAAGAACACAGCCCCTCTTTTTAGAGACCAGGCTCCCTAAATGTGGCCTCCTTGTGTGGATCCAGGTCAAAGAAGAGCCCCTTAGTGAGATAAGAAGAAGGTGGGTGCTCCCGCCCTGCTGGACCCGGGGACAGTTATCTGTACCATTGCCCAAGTAAGATGCTTGACAGCTTTGAAATACTCTGTAAATATCAGCAGTTATCTTTCCTGCTCTGCCCATCATCTATCTAGGGATTTTATTCCCTCACCAATTTCTAATAGGAGCTCCAATCCTATATGAAAAGTTCAGTTGCTGTTGCTGAGGCCTTTGAGAACTTGGGAGAAGGAAGGGGCTGTGGAAAGTTCCACTGTCCTTAGACTACTCGATCCTTCCTGGAAGCCTCTCCCTACCAGCTCTGATCCCTTCCATCGCCCTCATAGCCAGGAAGTCAGGACCTGCCTGATTTTCTCCCGGTGCTCCCTTAGACCAGCTTGCCCCTCCTCCCACTGTCCTTGCTTAAAGGGAGGATGTAGAACATCCCGCTTGGGGGCTAGGGGCCCCAGGACACCCAATGCCACCTCCAGCTGTTGAAGGGGGTAGTGTGAGGCATGAGCCCCTCCTCACCCTGGCCTGGGGCCTCTAGGCTGTGGGGCCACTGCCCCCTCACTGGCTCTCGAGTTCCACTGGAGGCTGATGCTGCCGAGGCCCAGCTGCAGCTGTGGGAAACCACACACCACAGGCCTGCAGGTGCACAGGGGCCAGGATGGGGAAGGGGGAGAAGATTAACTCTTTCTTGGAAGCATGCATTCATATTCCTTTACTTCACATTATGTGGAGTCCACTTGGCCCCTCTCATTGTTTGGGAGACGTTATGATCCCTACCCGCAGGGGACTTACAGTCTAGGAATGAGAGTTTTGACAGCACAAAACCCTAACCTCAGCTGGTTCTAAGGCCTGTTCTGTGAGGACTCAAGTATACCAATGCAGTAGTGGAAAGAAGTCAATTTGGGGACCTCTGTTCAAATCCTAGCTCTCCCCCTTCTTAACTCTGTGTATGACCTTGGTCAAATCACTTCTTCTCCTCTGGGCCTCAGTTTCCTCATCTGTAAAAATGAGAGGGTTTTACCACATGGCCTTTAAGATTGATTCCAACTCTAAATCTGCGAATCTACAATTCCTTTAGAGTAGGGGTATCAAATATGTAGCCTATAACACCCCCAAATGTAGTTCAAACCAGATAAAAATGCAATTGGGAAATACAACAAAATAAGTAAAAATACATGAAAACATCAATAATGTTACATTTTAAAACTAAGCCAACATGCAGCCTACCGGGCTGCGTATGTATAGATTAGTGGCCCCTGTCTCTATTTGGGTTTGATAGCATACCTTAGCGTATTCTGCAGGACTGGGAGGCAGGATGCTTTGCAATCCCCACCTTCACTAATGGACCTTGGATATGGATGTCCCTGCTCACGGCACTGATGTGCTTATTCTCCTGAGTTATCCTTGTTATGTTAGGGACATCATATCCTTAACAGCAGGCAGAAAGGAGGATTAGCACCAGACAGTAAAACAAACTCTCTGAGTTTTATTGTAATAAATATATATACCTAGCCTATTAACAGATTTAGAGCTTGAAGACGATGGTGGGGGTCATTACACTTATGCTGTTAGAGCCATGAGGGGCTTTGAAAATCATCCAGTCCATTTCCTTCATTTTCCAAATGGGAGAACTGAGCCCAAAGAGAATCCTATGATTATAGATTTAGAACTGGAGGAGTCCTTAAAGCCCACCTGGCCCAACCCTCTCGTTTTACACACGAGGAATCTAAGAAGTTAATTGATTTGCCCAAGATGATGACAGTAGTAACAAAGGTAGGATTTGAACCCTGGATCTTTGGTCCCAGAGCTGGTATTCTTTCCACTGTACCATACTGTGATAGTAACTGGAAGAGTTGGTATTTGAACCAAGGAACTGTGATTCCAAATTCAACATTCTTTCTCTGCTGCTTCAAACACTAGTCACCTGACTGGCTAGTATCAAAAACCTTTCTGAAATCTGTTCCCGCAGGGATCACCAGGCCCTCATCTGGGACAGGAGAGGCAACGCTTAGGCCTGGGCTTCTACTCAGCTCCATGGACCACCACCACATGGTAACCATTAGTGTTGGGTGAACCTCAACACGCCACGGTTTGGATGCAACTTTGGAGCTGTCTAGTAGCCTGGAAAGCCTCCAAGAAAAGTCTTTCGCATGATTCCCAGCACAGTTCCTTCCCCACTGTGCTTCGGGCCTGCAGCCTTGTCCCTCAGGGTAGGTATTGTGTTTAATGCTGCCCGTCTCTGCCTGAGTCTCTGTTTCCATTGGGCAAAGTCCCCCTGGACCAGTATTAACTCTGAGGTATTCATGTCACTCCCATTTTATGTGTGTTGTGCATGGCTTCTGGCTGATCATATTTGCTGGGATGAAATCTAGGACATGAAGGATCTTTCTGGAAAAAAAAAAGCCTGACTGTACTTTGTTTTTCTCTCTTCTCTGCCCATCTCTTTTCTTTTTCCTTAAAAAATTCTTTGTGTGTGTGTGTGAGCTTAATTATTGATAAAAACAAACATTTTCATATAAAAAGATCTAAAAGGAAGCTTGCACATGGTAAGTACAGTTTATAAATGTACATTACATGTAACATAGTAAAAACCTCCTCAACTTTTTTCTTGGGTTGTGTATTTTTTACTCCCATCCTTTTTTTCCATCTGTCCTATCTCTTCTTTTTTTTTTTCCCCTTTTGACTAGACTTGTGATTTTATTGGTTTTAGGAATTCCTGTTAAAGAAATTCCTTCTGCCAATGATAAGCAACTACTCTGCCACTTAGAGTCTTAGTTGCCAGAGGCACTGAGAAATTCAGCGACTTGCCCAGGGTGACACTGCACTTGAACCCAGGTCTTCCTGATACTGAGGCCCACTTTCCATGTATTAAGCCACATTGCCTCTCTTGTATAATTCTATGATCTGTCTAATATGAGTAAGGAAAGTCCTGTTAATGTGGATTTGTGTTTATTCAATATTCATGAGTTCAAGGATTTAAGGCTGAAAGGTAACTTGAGGACCATTAAATATAATAATCTCATTTGACAGATGAGGAAACTGAGGCCAAGAGAGGTAAAATGATTTACCTGAGGTTATTCATTCATTCATTTGGTAAATATTTACTGAA